CAAAGTCAAGAAACTTTTAGCTTATATAGCCTTATAGTTCTACTTCACATGTCATCCGTCCTTCCTGTTCTCCTCATGGTCCTCATGTAATTGATCAGTGCTTCAAAAACAACACAACCTTCCGTTGCGTATATTTTTTTCAAAAGAATCAAAACCAAAGTGCATGATTTGAGTTTTTTTTTTGTTTTTTTTTTTAGTAATTCTAATTTTTGTTCTTTTTTTTTTTTTTTTTCATGTGCAAGGTTTTTGGCCAGTGTTAAAAGATTTGCACAAGCAGGGTTGCATTATCTTGGCGTGTGCACGGAGCGGGACAGCAAAGGCAGCAAAGAAGCCCCCAGGCCTGTTAAACAGCCATGCATTCAATGTAATCAAGGTGAGTAGGAACCCAAAAAAAAAAAAAAAAAAAAAAAAAAAAGAAGAAAAAGGAAGATTCAAGATTGATGGATTGACCTTCTGTTATCCTTGGGGGGAATCAACCAGATTTCTTTCCTTTCCTCTTTTTTTGGGTGGGGGAGGGGGGAGGGGGGGAGGGGGGAGAATTGGCAACAGTATAACGGCATCGCTCCACTTCGACGTGTATGTTCACAGCAAGAAGACTAGATGCATTTGGGCTGATCCAACATTTAGAATGTGTATCGTATATCATTATTAGCATCTATGTTGAAAAAAGGATGCGACTTCTCCCTCTGTCGTTTATCTGCATTACATTCTCTTTTTCTTTTTTTTTTTCTTTTTTTTTCAGTGAGTAGTCGCCTTATCATTTTCTGGCCCTGATTGTGATTTGGGGGAATCACATCACTTCTTACTTTTTTTCTTTCTCGAAAACAGAAGATCCTTACGGTCCGTCTGCCACTTAGTTTTTTTGTTTTGTTTTGTTTTAATTTGTTTTTTTTTTGTCTTTTTACTAGGCTACCAGCCGGGCCGCTCGGGGCCCCGGTTACCAGCCCGTGCAAGGACAAGGGAAGGTCCCAACAAAAAACAAAAAAAAATCTAAAAAATCTGAAAAAATACTATGTTATGTAGAAAACTAAATTAAACAACTTTTGCCTCAGGCTCACATCGAAATTCTTTACCAAATTTAAAATATAAAATAAAATTTTAAAATATTTAATTTTTTTTAATCTTTTTGGCCCGGCCGGGCAAGTGACCCTGGGCCACTCTGGTAGCCTAGCTTTTTTTTCAGTTTTTTTTTTTGTCAGGTTTTATGTTTTTTTTCTTTTTCTTTTTCTGTTCGGTTGTAACTTTGTTGTTTTTTTGGGTTTGTTGCCTTGTTTGGTTTTGTCGTTTTATTGTTTTATTGTTTTGCTGTATTGTTCTTTTCGTTGTTTTGTGCGGTTTTGTTCGTTTGTTTGGTGTTTTTTTAAGGGTTCAATTATCCGAATTATCCGTGCTTCCAATTGTGAACAAATTTTTTTGGGTGTTTTTTGTTTGGAAATTGGAATGTTTGTGGTTTTGTTTTTCTGTGGGGGGCACACTTTTTTTCTTTTTTTCTTTTTTTCTTTTTTCCTTTTTTTCGTTTTTTCTTTTTTTCTTTTTTCCTTTTTTTTTTTTGGGGGGGGGGGGGGTCGCAGGTGTTTCATCCTTCTGCAGGTCAACCTACGCACCTGCGGAAACCTTGTTACGACTCCTCCGTCCTCTAAATGCTAAGGTGAACCTGCAGAAGGATAATTCACTTCTCACAGCACCCCCAGTGGCAAACCGCCAAGATCACCGTGATCCGGACACACTTCACCGGGCAATTCAATCGTTAGGAACGACAGGCGGTGTGTACAAAGGGCAGGGATGTAATTGTTCTTTTTTTTGGGGGGGGCTGTTCTTTTTTTTTAAATATACAAAGGAACAGTCTTGTAAAAGAGTTGTTAGCTTGTTTTTTTTTTTTTTTTTTTGAGAATAGGGTGACGGCCCTGAGATATCATCTTTGGTGTTTTGAGGCAGGTCATGGAGTCGCAGCAGGGACAACGCCTGATACGCGTGCGCGACCGGTCGAGGAGTTTGGAATTTTCGGCATCGATCTCAGAGAAAATTCTTAAGCGCAAGGGAAACAAGGAATTTTCCGCTGCCCGTGAATTGAAGCTGGATGCGGATGGATCCGACGGAGATTTCTGGATTCCCTACGATGATTTCCTGAAGGTGAGCATAAAGTATTCGCCGAAATAAGGGCCAGGCCCCACTGGTGCTATGTTCACGATGGGAAGCATGAACCTGGCCGTGACAGAGGACAGGTTCATGCGTCCGTAGCGTGAACGTAGTATGAGTCGTGCATGGCCACGAGGAATTTTCGGCTTCGTGGTATGGGAAATTTCTTCCTTGGCTAGATCGGTACATGTTGTTCAAGCGTGAACCTGGCCATGACAGACGACAGGTTGATGCTTCCATACCGTGAACATAGTACAAGTCGGGTGTGGCCACGAGGAATTTTCCGCTTCGTGTTATGGGAAATTTCTTTCTTCCTTGGCTCAATTGGTTGGTACATTCCGTTATGTTGTTGCACGCGGCAAACGAGAGGATGAGCAGAGATGATATAGATCAACAAGGCGGCGTAGACCGTTTTTTGAGGTATCTCCCCTTGTCTTGATGGTTGCAAATTGCATTGTTGGCTTCCATTTCTGTTTAGTTGCTCTGATGATTTGTTTGTCAGATTTGTGACCTTTATTGCATCGCGCTGAGCTGCAAACATGTGAATCGACGCTTGATGCGGACAGAATTGACGGAGCTTTCTGGATTCCCTATGAAGATTTCCTTCGCCAAAATACGGGTCAGGCCCCACTGGTGGTGCTATGTTCATGATTGAAAGCATGAACCTGGTCGTGGACGAGGACAGGTTCATGCTTGGGTAGCATGAACATAGCACACGCCGGGCCTGGCCACAAGAATTTTTCCGCTGCCCGTGAATCAGAGGTACTGATCCACTGACATTGGAAAGCTCCCGATAACTGGCGGGCAGTTAAAGTCCCACCGACTCCCACATAAGTGACCGGGCTATACTACCGATGGGGGTCATGTGCTACTTGGAGCGAAGTGTGCGGTGATTGCCAGCGTCCGTGTGGTGTTGTTTGTGGCGTGCATTGAGTGTGAACACTACAGCCTTCCAGGGGTGGGCCGGATGTCGCGGCCGGTATGGTTCCGCTTTTGAACACCGTGTCCTGGCTGTAGTGGTTACGATACTTGGCTCTGCTTGAGGCCGACGTTGCCAGTCCGAGTCCGTGCTTGCACGGAGGAGGGCTGAGGCCCAAAGGTACTGATCCAATGACGTTGATGTGGATGGATCTGACGGAGCTTTCAGGATTCCTTATGACGATGTCCTGAAGGCGAGCATAGAATATTCGCTGAAAGAAGGGTCAGGCCCCACTCACTGGCGCTATGTTCATGGTTCAAACTTCAAAGCATGAACCTGGCCACGACAGAGGGCGGGCTCATGCTTCCGTAGCATGAACATAGTACGAGTTGGGCCTGGCCCCACGAAAAACTTTGCTCCGATGTATTGATGATGAGATGTGTGGGCTGGGACTCGGGGGCAAGCCCCCCTGTTATTAGAATCCTGACCTTTTTTCTTTATTTTTTTCATTCATAATAAGAATGGGCGTACTGACTTGTGGTTTCACTGGGGCCTCTGTTGTTGGTGTCTCTACTTTTTAGAAATTCGTCGGTGTCACCGTCGCCCATGTGAGGTGTGATGAGAAGGGAGATTCTACCTGGAATCTTCTCCAGATTCCTTGCACTTTTATTCCGGACGACTGGTCCGCCGCTGGAAACGATTCGCAACCGACTCGGATTTTCAGAATGAAGGTGCTTGAAGCCACAAAGCTTTTCATCGGACTAAATCAAGAAAGTGCGCAAATGTGAGTGATATCCTTCTATCCTTCTATCCTTATCCTTCTATCTTTATGGTCCATGAACCTGACCTGTATTCTGGCCACGTTTCAAACTTCTTTTCCCCATGAACCTGACCTGTATTCCGGCCAGGTTTCAAACTTTTTTCCCCCATGAACCTGACCTGTATTCTGGCCAAGTGCACAAATGTGAGTGATATCCTTCTATCCTTATCCTTCTATCTTTATGC